TAACATAAAAAGATGTTCTAGAATATCATTTAAAATATTCAATCTCCAAGATTGACGGGAAATTCAACCTATATATGTTTGTATTTATATGAAATATAAACTAAAATCACGATTAAAATTTTTAAAATCTATATCTATAATAATTGAAAGAGGGAGGTAAAAAAATCATTTGTAGAAACTTTTAAAAAACTGGTCAACAAATACTTTGACTTACCATTTGTGGTAACCTATTTAAATCCGAAAATTATTTATCCTCTCTTGATATGTCAAAAAGATTTCCGGATTTTCGTTAATTAATCCATAATTTTCGTTATCAATTTCCAAAAAGTATTTATCTTTCTCTTGATATGACAAAGAGATTTTTGGATTTTCGTTAACCAATCCATAATTTTCTTCATTCCAAAAACTGGTTGTTACCATTTAGTACGAAAATCTGTTGGCAATCTTTTAAGAACCGTGCAATTTGAAATTCTCATTCCTTATTTTGCGGCTGAGTCAATTTGTCATTCCTTATATTTAGCATCACGCGCCGCTTTAAAAAACAAACAATTTGCAATTGTGATTCCATATTTAAAAACCCTTCAATTTGAAAGTGTGACTCCATTATTTTACGTGAAAAAATCAACTAAAATTCCTAATAAGGTGCGAGTGTTACATCCTTATCAAAATCAATTTAATATCTTATCAAAATCAATCCTTCTTTATCGTTAACAATTTTAGGAATATTATCTTAACAAAATCTTTCCACATTTTACGTGAAGATAATTGTGCAGATCAAAAGTATGTATAAAAGGGTGTTCATTCATAGCATTTTTTTATCACCTCTTTCACAACGTGCAGAGAAAACAATACAGAGAAATTTCAATATACACACAGAATATAATGCAGCCATTCTTTGATACAATCTTCTCCGTCAATAGGGCCAACATACCATTTTTGCGGTTGAGAGTAGTCCGACTTATTGAAACGCATTATGATCAGGAGTGGTTGAACTGTTTTCATATCCTGTTTCATGATCAAGAGGTAATATTTTTATGTTATATCTCAATTTATTGTATATATTGTTAAATCATATTAAAAATATTAAATTTATTAAAAAGAAGTCTTTGATATTATTTAAATTATATAGACAACAAAATACACAAGTAGTTTTCGATAACTAATTCATACACTTGAAATCGGTCAATTTTGACAAACTCTACATCAATATTTTAAATTATTTTGTTTTACTGAATGTTTGTTATTATATAATAGTTATGATGACATTTATATAAGAAATTGTTAAATAGGCAATTGAAATATTCTGCACATTAGATAAAATATTTTAATATTTAAAATAGTACTTATTAATTACGAAAATAAATAAATAATTGAATTTTCATAGCAATATAATCGGTACCATATCTTAATATTCTAAATTTATTAATTGCAAAATAGAAAAAATCACTTTATAATTTGTTTACGAATCTTTCAGTAGTTTACCATATGTTAATATTCTAAATTTATGTAAGATTTAGAACTATACCAAACTAATCATTATTTAATATGCAATTTGCTAGAGACTTTGCTGCAATCAGATACGATCACTTCAACACATAATGGATCCAAGAAAAAGGAGCAAAAAACCCTATGAAGAAAACATATTCCAAGGTAAATAATTTAATATTGTTTGTATTACTTGCTTAACTAACATATGGTTATTTTTGTACATCATACCTTAGTTTATTGCTGCAATTATTTATGAATTTTGAATAACATACATGTTCTCAGATCATATTGGCATAACAAAACTGTGGAAAGTTTATGTGTTTCATGCTTTTGTTTGATAATTCTTGTATTTTTGAACCTTCATGTTTTACAGATAAATAGAATAAATATGTTATTACAACCAAAATAAGAGTTAATTGAGCTATTAGTGTTTTATATCGGACGTTATCAATGTAAGCAAAATTGTACTGGAAATATGTATAGGAAGAAGTTTACCCGTGCAATTTGTATAGCTGTAGTTTTATATTTTGTTCGGCTCGATTAAGGATCATATATTATCTTGCCTGAATATCGAAAGTTTGTCGTTTTATGAACTGCATGTTAAAAGAAAATAATCAATTTTATTTACCAACACAACTTCACTCTCGATAATTCTTGCGCATCTTTGATGTCTAAAAAAATGTTCTTTCTTTACTAAATACAATAAAAATTAGTTATAAGTTGTAATTAACGCAAACCAGATATACATACCTTTAGTGGACGGCGATTGACTTCTTTCTCCATAGCTTGGAGTTGAACCGGACGGATTCTATAACTCCGGATTTGTGTATGCCCTTTCATTTCAACAATAAATTGTTATCTTTATTTGGATTTCGAACTTAATAAATAAAAAATTATTCTACCTCATAACGACAGACGCCGGCTTTCCGTTTTGCACGTCAAATGCCTCTTCTAATCGAAGTCCAGTGCTCATAGCATAAAGAAAAAAAAATAATTAGATTTTGCATCCTGTCAAAGAACAAACACTGAGACATCACAAAGTATGAACCCGGATTAAATAAAAAGTAAAATAATTATAATTTTAAACAGATTTGAAAAGGTGCTTAGAATATCTATAAAAATGATCAATTGAACAAAAAATAAAAAACAAAAATACAAACCTTTGTGTAGTCGGCAATCGATTTCGTGATCCCAAAACGAAAATAGTAAAAAATAGTAATAAGAAGCCTTAGCTCTGCTATTTTTTGTGGGTTTTTTCATATATATTTTTTGAAATCGCACACAAAACGCGAGCAGTGAGAGAGAAAAGGGAAGAATGACGGCGATCGGTGTGGTGAAATGAAATGGAAACCCTTATTTTTTTTTCTTTTATACCCTTTGTAAACAAATTACAACCGTTTAATCGTTATATGTGTAACAATACTGACCGTCCGATTTTTTGTGTTTATACATTTTGGGCCTTTTTTTTAAACCCCGATTATTTCTTAAAAAAAAATGTTAGGTCCTCTTCTCCAATATATATAGATTGGGCTACAGATATCGGGCCTTTATCATCAATTTGATGAAGCAGCCCAACCTTTTTATTAATTCGGTTGCTTTATTTATTTTATTGGGTTAATATTTTACTACAATTTTGTGTTTTGACTCATTATCCTAATATTTCAAAAAAAATTGGATAGTTTGTATAATTTATAATATGTTGAATATTGTTTAGATTCAAAATTTAAATTTCTAAAACATTCGAATTATAAATAATTTTTTTTTCTGTAATAGTAATAATATATGAAATGTGTATAATTTAATAAAATTACTGTATTATTTTCATTTAATAATATTTAGCATTAGTTGCATTAATATATGATAAAATTTGAATTACTGAATTATTTTTATTAATGTTGTGTAATAATTATGTACTTTTGAAATTATCAATTATACAAATAAATTGAAAATAATTTTGCAATTCTGTTATTTTGACTAGGTACTATGAATTTGATATTTGCATTGAATCAACTGTTACTAAACGTCATTGAAGGTTGATGTTGTCGAGTACATCAAGTCGGACTCTAATAATGATTTCTTTCTGATATCCATACGCCCGAGTTCTTGAATAGCATCAAATGTTCTGGAATTCTAAATCATCAGTTACATTTGAAGATTGAAACCCCCGTCATGTTATTGCGGAATATGAATCATTCTATGGGTTTATGTAACGGGACACAGTTGGTTGTGACAAAATTATCCGCTCTTGTTCTTGAGTCTATGATACTGACTGTGGATCACGAAGGTGAGAAGGTGTTGATTCCTAGAATGACTATAACTCCTTCCGATGTAAGAATTCCTTTAAAATTCCAGAGGCGATAATCTTCCATTATCAACAAGAGCCAAGGACAATCGTTATCGCATGTTGGTTTATTTCTTAAGAAGCCGGTGTTCAGCCATGGACAATTATATGTTGTTGCCTCCCGTGTCACCAATCGGAGTGGGTTTCAGATTTTAGTCTGTGATGACAATGACTTGACACCAAATTAGACCCAAAACATTGTGTACAAAGAAGTGTTTACTAATTTATGTAGATTTAAATTTGTTGTTTTCCATTTTATATTTGTTACATAGCTATAAAATGCAATAAGTTTAATGTTAATATTATAAAATTTTAGAACGATCTACCACCCCGTGCATCGCACGGGTCAGTACTAGTTATGTATTTATAACCTTACTCATTAATTAATTAATGTATTTTAAAATTGGGATGCCAAAAGTATGAGTAAACTTGCAGCAGAACTATTTTTCCAAAGAAAACAAATCTCAGTTTTACCCAAATTGTTCGAAATTAGTGCGCCATAAAAAGCCACCGGAATTCCGATAATCGAATATGCCCTGAATCACTTTCCGATGTCTCGCCGCAATCACACGACGGAGCTCGGTTGTATAGCTGGCCAAGATTTATCCGATTTCGGTGCCGGAAAAGAAGGTTGGCTGGAGAATAACCCTAACCTCCTCGTCTCCCTCGATACCCACTCGCTTGCGCTTGCCAACCGGTCCTTGATCCTCATCCTCAACTGGTCCCAGCCGATCAACGGGCGTCCCGATCCGGAAAACCACCGAGCCGTCAAGATCCGACCCGATCTCTCCCCCATTGAAGGCGAGTATATCTCGGCCGTCGAGTGGCTCGTCTTCGATGATGACATCAGAGTCCTTGCCGCCGGCACCTCTTGTGGCTACCTTATGATCTTTTCCACCCACGGCCGTGTCATTCACAGACAGGTGGGGTGATCTTCAAATGCTCAACAGTTTATCAGTAGGATAACTTGAAAAAAAAAAAAGCTTTTGTGGAATGCTATCGAGTTATATATGTGCCTTTGCAGGAAAAATAGGAAATAAGATAGTGGTCATTTGGGCAGATTGAGCATGGATGTCCCATTTGGGCTCGGGAATTTTAATGTTTAATCTTGGCAATTGGCTGATTTTATGATTTATATTAGCTAATACAACCTTTTGTTTGTGACTTGGTATGGCAATTCTATGACTTTGTTATTTCTTGAAATTGATTTTGTGATATGCGTGTCCAACATTATATTAGACGATATGGCTGAGCTTACGTATTTTCTATTTAAGGTCTATTTGTCATTTGGCTGGTAAGAAGAGAAATTATCAATAGTTAAGCTTCGATTCATTACGTGATCAGCAACGTATTCAATTTTATTTTGCAGATTGTAAACCCTGGAAAGATACTTAAGTTAAGGGTGCGTGGGGTCAAACAAGATCTAACACAGGATACCTCTTCAGAAGAGGTTTGCGTTGTAATGCCTGGTGTAGTTGCCCGTTTTGATGGATCTGATGTTAAGGTATCCGGATTTTGTGGTGTTTGCCTTCAAAAAATAAGTGGTTGAACATTCATTCTCTTGGTGGATTTTTTTTCATTGCACGTGTTGAAAGCTTTACAACTGATATTGGATTCATGACTTGCAGTTACTATTTGCATGGGATTTTTCATGTTTGTTTGTCTGTTGAGTTCTCTCTGCTCTACAATTGTTGGTCAATGCAGAATCTGCTGCAACGGTGGTTTCGAGAAACAAATTCTCAGGTTTGGGATCAGGATTTTGATGATAGTTTCTCGGATGACAATGGAAATTCTTCTGCAAGCCTCCCTTACCAGATATGGAATGTTAGCAAGTACGGTCTGTGTGCTGATGCTGCTATAACAGGCGTTATGCCCCCACCTTTAATGGAGATTCAGGTAATTGTCAGATTCAACTCCATTTATGCTATTGCTTTTTTGGTTAGTCATTGGTGAAGGGAACATCATTTTAAAAATGTGTTTATCAGTAGAGAAATGCATTGGAAGTGCAAAAGTAGTGTTTGGTAGGTGATTGAGGAAAAAAAAATTCCCACCCAATGCTAATCCACATGAAGCCCCAAAAAGATAAACAACAATTTATCACGGAATTAGGTTGAGATTGTGTGGATTATTGCTTGTGCTCTTTATTTTTGTATTGATTTACTCCATGAATTTTGAAAAACTTTCTGAATTTATTCTGGTATTTGAATTCAGCTGATTTTATTGTTGGGCAGTCAAGCCAGCGTTACTATTGTGCAGTCACCATTGGAGATGATGCCGTGATATCAGCATTTAGGTTAGTGGGTTTCCGAATTGTAGTAGTACTTGTTGTCTGTACTCTTTTAAAGCTTGCCTCTATCCTTATTTTAAGTTGAAAGTGCCTTGTTATTTGAATTTATATTGTATAACTGGTTTTCTTTCGTCTAGACTTTCGGTTGATAAGAGCAGATCTTTAGTGGGAGCTATCTTGTCAAAAATTGTGCCTGCAACCGTTTCTACAATAGCTTCGTTTTCAAAAATGATTTGGCGGAGTGAACAAAAGCCCAAAAGGAAGCCAGAGGCTAAAACACAACCATTTGCTCGTGGTAAGAAATTTTCTTGTAATCTTTGACTATTTCTTTTAATCACTACCTTCATTGTGTTCGTTGGATGTATGTAATTTATATGACACGTCTTGCCTTGAATTTTTAATAATATTATGTACTTTGTGGCAGCCTCTCCTCTGACTTGTTTGCAGGATAATCCAAGGAAGGGCGAGAAGCTTACGCTGTCACCAAGTGGTACTTTGGCTGCAATAACTGATTCACTTGGTCGTATTTTGCTCTTAGACACACAGGCACTAGTTGTTGTGCGTCTATGGAAGGTACCATATAATAATATTATTATGTGCACGAATATTTTCAGATTTTAGGCACTTGACATTTGATACCCAGCTTCAGGAAGTATTTTCTCAAGTTTCAGATTATAAAGCACTGGATTTTTAATCTGGACATGCTACCAATTGCTCACAGTATTTAGCTGTTTTCTAAATTTGACTTATTCTGTAGGGATATCGTGAGGCGAGCTGCTTATTCGTGGAGATGCTTGCTGGTAAAGATAAAGCAGCTTCTTCTCTTCATAACGAACTTTCCAAAAGTGATTATTGTCTCTGCCTAGCCATCCATGCACCTCGAAAAGAAATTGTTGAGGTATTTTTCTTTTGAATGCCAGCATCCACTTGGCTTTTCTTATCATCCCTCATGCCTCTACTTGCAATGTAGTTGAATGTCATCTGGCGTGTCATACTAGAGGTAATTACATAATACATTTTACGGATAAGCCCGTCTGTATTGGTAAATTGCAAGCAGTCCAATTATATTTATTTTCTTTATACATGTTGCCCTCAGGGCAGTGTTTTGATACCTGAGAAGATTATTTATTATTCCGAATACTAATTGTTGTTTTTGTGCAAAACGTCAGGGGTAACTTTTGTAATTTAATCTTCACAAAATAGCTTTTAACCCCCCCTATTTTCTTCCCACCTCTGTCAATACACATGAAATTCTTGCAGGCAGTGATATACCCTGTCTCATGACGTGTACATTTGCTGCACAGCCATTTGTTTTACAGAGTTTGACAATCACTTGTTTTTTATTTTTTCTTTTCATGCCTTATTTATGTGAAATGACCATGTTAATATCAACATAATTCTCTACCACCCGACATAACTCCCAAACGCCAACTGATTCGCTTCTTTGATTGATCATATGTTTTTCGTATTCTTCACTTGGACTGATGGGAAGTTAAGTTCTATTCATGTAGGTCTGGCAGATGAGGACAGGACCTCGACTTCTTACAATTCCATGTCCCAAGGGCAGTAAAATATTACAACCAACTTACAGATTTACCTCTGAAAAGCCATCTTCTTCATCATCTTATGCACCCTTGGAAGTTTTCTTTCTAAACGGAGATTCTGGTCAAGTATCAGTTCTCAATCATTTTCTTCATTGATCTGATAAATTAGTGTATTCACCGATTTTTTTCGCGATTTGTATAGGATGCTCATAAAGTTAAATGAGAGTCGTGCCAATTTTATTTTACTTGTTCTACAGCCGACACAAATTTGTACCTATTGCACAGGTACAAAAAATAGTGTATTCTCTGCAGGCTTCGTTAACCCAAAGAAGGTTAAAGTTCAACTGTTACAGTCCTTGTAGCTCTTTTTGTGAGAGCGAACCTGTGAATTTTAGTTAAACAATAGGCATTTGGTTAGTCTTCCTATTGGTTAGATGGTGTTACTCGTCTAATTCATTTGTCTTTTCATGCCTAGTACGTCTCAAAATCGATATATTGATGTAGAGCACCAAATTTGAGTCGTGTATTGTGGTGAACATTTTTTTAGCAATCTTATATACAGACTCGTTTAGGAGATATTTTGTGAACGGTTCTGAATATTTAGTTATTGACATACATCAGGAAGTATTCGAATTTGGATATTTGAACGTTTGGGTTTTGGATTTTTTATATAGGAAAGCGTACCAAGAGAAAATAAAAGAGATTTCAATCTTAAACGCCTGTTTTCTTGTTCAATCATCAACTCCACTTCACAAAAGAAGATGAGTCCTTTAAATAAGGCTCCTAAAATTCGAATGCTAATTTGTCCAACAGCAAAGATTCTAATAAAGTAAAATATGTTCCAAACAAATATAGAATACCATTACTAATTATTATAATAATAAAGAGAGAAACAAATAATTAAATTAAAGATTCTAACGATCCTTATTTCCATCATTCTCTGCGTGTTGAAAAGGATTCACCCTCGAATTCGGTACAGCCTTGTGGTCACCGAAATTATCACCATATGTCACTTAACAAGTAGATTGGCCACACGTATGTATGTATAGGGAAGACAAAAAACCTGTCTCCATTATTTTCATCAAATAATGTGCTCAGATTCACTTTTTGCTCATCAAGTTGTGTAGTGATAGTGGACCATACCCCACCACTGACATTACCAAACTGCAGCATACAGTTTTCCTTCATCAAATTGAGCAACAAAATTGTGATCTCAGATACGGTCATCCATTTATATTGGAAAAGTCCTCAATTGCTTTCTCGGTTAGTGAAAGCTGATTATCGATAATATTCAACCCCATTGGTTTGCAACTGGCTCAATCTTCAGCCACATGGTTGTCGTCCTCCACCGACTACATCATAACCTCTCGAAAATTGGCGAACCTTCATACTCGAATGACCCCTCGTCATCGAAACGAGACGTACCCTCATACTTGATCGACCCTTGTGCGTTCACAAAAGCCCCTGATAATTCAGAGATCACGACTCGAGATGATGACTTCAACGCGTGAACCGGTTCTCGTCCCTCACCTCCATCGCGCCAAAAAGATTGAAGACACCTTCTCCGACCCACGATGGAGGTGATCAAGCGTGGGGCGCCCCGCGTGGACCGCGGCCGCAACCACCGCGCTCTCCGTCGTGGGCGCAGTTCGTGTGCTCGCACTGAACAATGGTACGGAGAGCCAATCAAATGTCCCCGATCCCACGGACAGATCCGTAATCTGACGACCCATCGTCTCAAACTGGCGGCCAAACCCCTCGTACTGGGCTCAAGTTGTCGATAGCGAAACTACGCCTGTCGTCTGCAACATCTTGTCTCCGTGGCAACATCAGTTAGTTTGCTTACTGGCCTTCTTTTCTTATGATGATGATTAATTATTTTTTTTACCTTTCGTAGGTTTCCATCCAATTTCCGAAACATCCCGAAGTTCAACCATATCAAGGACCTTTCTTCCCTTTCCGACATCAAACATTTGAAGATACTTGATGATGAGCACCGTTCTATAGACAAAGGCACGACTCTAGCTGTCTTTCGACCCCTCATCAACAAGTTCTCACCTCCGACAAAAATTGACAAATTCCATCTACCTCAAGGAGTGGTCTCAAGAAGTTCAATCAACAAGAAAACAAAGACATGGCCCTTGCAAGCAACTCATCATCACCATCAACCGCTAGACAAACAACTGTCATTCTCTACTTTGGGCCACCGAATCATCAAAAAGGGCGAAGCCATATGTCAGCGAGTTCCACCATGTCAAAGGCTACTAGGAATGAGCCAAATATATTCTCAGCCGATGCAAGGACAAATTTCATTCCGCCAAGATATACGAATCCGTATACACCTCACTATACACATATGATTGCAACTCAAATATTATCAAAGCGATATGCGAAGCCTGGTGCCGACAGACAAACACGCTGCTGACCTCCCATGGCGAGTTATCCATTTCTTTGTGGGACTTGCACGCGATCGCCGGTCTTCCTATATCTGCATTGTTATATGACGAGGTCATCCCGAGCAGTGAAGAGCTCAATGGCATTGACAAGAATGGCTTCGAATTCCTTCCATGATCGTGCAACCACGTACTACATGCTTTCCACCATCTTCAACAGAATTCCCGTCATGGTCAATTCAATTATCGATGGAGTTAATCCAATTATCGATGGTGACTTGGGTGAATTGACAATAGCAACGAGAATTTTGTTTAACATGGTGGAAAGCATTTAGCAGGACGAACGGGAAAGGAATTTGAAGTCGTTTAATGCCATTGAGTTCTTCAGCACTCGGGGACAACTTCGTCATATTGTAACTTAGAATAGAAAGACCGACGATCGCATGCAAGTCCCACAAAGAAATGGATAACTCACCATGGGAGGTGAACAGTGTGTTCATCTGTGGGCATCAGACTTCGCATGTTGCTTTGATAATATTTAAGTTGCAATCTTATGTGAACAGTGAAACGTAAACGGAGTCGTATATCTTGTCGGAGTGAAGTTTGTCCTTGCATTGGCTAAGAATATCTCCGGCCCATTCCTAGTAGCCTTTGACGTGGTGGAACTCGCCGAAGAACGTGATAGGATATTCTTTTTATATGGCTTCACCTTTGATGAGTCGGTGGCCCAAGTTTAGAGAATGACAATTGTTTGTCTAGCGGTTGATGGTGATGATGAGTTGCTTGCAACGCATTTTCTTGTTTGAGGCAGAGGGAATAATCAATTTTGGCCATAAAAGTAAGAACTTGTTGATGAGGGGTTGAATTACCGTGTCTTGGTCTATAGAAGGTTGCTCATATCAAGTATCTTAAAATGTTGGATGCGGAAGGGGAAGAAATGTCCTTGAATAAATCATGGTTCAACTTCAAGTTTCGGAAATTGGATGAATACCTACAACATGAAAATAAATTAATTATCATCATAACAAAAGAAGACCGGAAAGCAAACGGACAAGCTTCGTTTCGGATGGCCCTGGACATCTCCCGGATCGCCTGGTTTCCCCCGAAAGCAACTGAACAGCCCCGTCCGAATAGCCATACGAGTTTCCCGGACAGCGTACGAGCTTCCCGAGCATCCTGAACAGTCCTGTAGGAGGCCGAACAAACGGCCCGTTAGCAGCCCGAAAATCATACGAACGGCCCCGACAGCAATACGAAGGTCCCGAACAATATGTTGCAGCACGCGTAACGGAAGAAAGAAGATGAAACGAAAAAATATTGGAAAAATAGTATATTGTTACCTTTGGGGCAATCTGTCGAACACCTTGAAGTCAGAAATTTGGGAAATTAATGTCTATGGCCTCTTTAGTGTTGCCTACCAAAAAATTTTCCGACAGCAACTCCTAAGCATCACCACGTAGCAGCAAACATAAACAAATAAATAAACAGAAGAAAAGGAACGAGAAAGAAGGAAAGGCATGGAGATGTACCTATTTGATGGGTCTTTGTTTGGTGATGATGAAGCTCAAAGGCCTTCTCTTTTATAGAAGAGAGATGTTATAATTTTGGAATTTTTTTTCCTAATTTGTGGAGGAATCGGGTAATCTCTCCAAAGAAAAAATATAATAGAAAGGAGACGTATAAATACAAGTAACTCATTGGCCTGCACGCATGTCTCAGTTGAAGTTGGAAAAAATTTAGCAAATTTAGATGTAAAACATATACAGACGGACTCATTGTATATGCAAACATGTAAAGTGGATTTGTGTATGTAATCTATATCTATATCTATCTATATAATAAGAATAACCATCTATATACTTTTTTTTTTGAAACTTTTCTATAATTAAAAATATTGTTTCCGTAAATAATTTTATTAATATATGCAATAGTTTCATTTATATCAATTATAATAAATTAAAAGATTGATAACATGATTCATATTGATAATAAATTGGTCAAAATTTACAGCATATTTTAAGTTCTAACCATAATATTATTTTATTTTCACAAAAATTCACTTTTTATCTAAAAAAATTTATAGAAAATCGTAACAGGTTAGGTAATTTTTTTTTTCTTTCAATTAATCAGGCGAAATCAAGTTGGTGAATTGATCTTTACCAATATAATTTTTCTTAAGCTTTGTTTCGTTAAATATAAGAAAATAAATTATTCTTTAAATTAATGTAATTTATCATTTAAGAGATAACAATCAGATACATTAAATAATTTTACTAATGGTAAAAAATTAAAATTGAAATATAATAATTATTCTTTAGAATTTATTTCTATATTATTGGAAACCATGATTATTGTTTTTATCATTTTTTTTTTATTTTGATTTATCTCTGTAATGACATTCTTGAAAATATTTATTGCAAAGTGTTCTGAATAAACTATAAGTCCTCATAATGCAAATTAGAAAAATCTTGATATAGAAGGGATTGAGTTTTTGACATTTGCTAAATCAATGTTGTTTAATTAGTATACCAAATTAAATTCTAAAACAACATTTTTGTGTATATTTGTAAAATATTCATTTACTGTATAATTTTAAATTTATTTATATATTTTAAATTGATTACATAACTAAGTAATACTAACATGCATTAAATATTTTTCATTACATAAAATAAAAAGAAAAAGAAGACGTACAACTTTTATAACTTTTACAAATAATAATGACATTATATGACGACAAAGTTTATAATAAAATAATAATTAAATAATATACAGTGAACAAAGATAAGTGAAACTGTTATTTTTTCTTATATCAAATAATAATAATAATAATAATAATAATAATAATAATATATATGATGTGATGTGTATTTGTTATTTGTAATTTTAGAGTAAAATTTTTAAAATTGAAATGCACAAGTAGAGACCTTTAAAGTCTCTTTTAAATTTTATTAAGGGGGTTGTATTCAATTGCAACTTTTAGAGATTTTTTAAGACTTTTAGAATTCTGGTGTATTCAATTAGAACTTTTAAAGACTTCTGAAAAGTTTACATGTATTCAATTGAGACTTTTAATGACTTTTAATAAGTCTCTAAAAGTCTCAGGGTATTCAATTAAAACATTCTGAGAGTCTTTATAAGTCACCCTATATTCAAAACAAAAAGACTTTGTGAGACTTTTTAAATTTTGAGACTTTTGGAGACTTTTGTAACAAAATTACAAAGGAAAAGTCTCAACAGAAATCTCATCAATATTGGTGAGATTTTGCTGGACTTATGTGACTCTTTTCACGCTCTTTTTTTTTTTCTTTCTAACACGACTTTGTATCCCATATCATTTTCATGCTCTATTATTTTACTTTTTTATTTTGATACCTTGTGTAAAAGTTTTATTTTAATTACATATTATTGTGATCTTTTTATTTTATATATTCTTTATTATGCTTATTTTATGTGTGTATACCTTATTCTCTCATTTTGCTATCTTGTGAATTTGACTTTTCAAAGGTTAATGCTTCCATAGTTGCACTTGCAAATAATTTATTTGTTCTTTCTTTTTATTTGTAAATGTTTATTTCAGAATATTAAAAAAAAATTATTTTCAAATAGTTTATTTGTTAATATTGAAATGTTTGAATATTATTGATAATTTTATAAGATACAATTACTGTTTTTCGGCATGTTTGTATCTTGTAAAAATATAACCTAATAATATTTTTCTAATATAACAACATTATGCAAAAAATATAAAAAATAAAATCAATAAATAATTAAATAAATATATCTTAATTTGAGTTGATTATAAGTGTCGTTATAGTAGATATGTCTCACACATATTTGACCTTGTACTCTTTTAACAAACAAATATAAGGCCATGCTCGATTCGACTCGTTGAAACTCGGATCGATTTACTCGTTTAATAAATTTAAAATCCTAAACAATTTGTTCGTGAATAACTCATGTCGCATAAAAATGAGTTTATTCATAAATTTTTAGAGGATTAATATATACAACATCTTTTTGTTTTTTCAATTATTCTTGTTTATATTAGTTATTTTGTTACGTTTATTAATATTTTATTCAAACATAATATTATAACTGCAAGTATATAAAATTCTCAATAAGTTTTAAAAAGTCTATTATGAAAGTCTTAAAAAGTCACTGATGAAAATTCTCTGAAAGTCTCAAAAAGTCCACCAAAGTCATGAAAGTTTTACAAAGTCCACAAAAGTCATCAAATTTAAAAAGTTTTAAAAAGTCCTTAAAAGTCTCAATTGAATACACCCTCCTAAGTTTACATAGTTTTATCAAAATTAGTTACCTTTAAAGCTCTATCGCAACCTTTGTGCAGCTTAACCCCAACTGAGATAAGGGGTTAGAGTAGTGGCTGTAGAGGAAGAGAAAACCCGGCGAGCGAGAAGCAAGAAACAAGATTTTCTTTAATGGGCTTCTCCACATTGAGTAGGCAAGCGAGTCGAATTCATCTTCTCAATTATATTCTTTCCTTATTGATTGCAATTTCACAAATTCTGTTCAATTTTTCTTCATTTCCCTTTTCCTTTTCCGGCTGTGCGCGCAGTTATGGCACCGTTGGCGTAGGCTGGAAGTCGTCGAGCTTGTTTGCGCCTCTGAATGGAGCTCTTTTGTCTCACAGGCGTAGAAGCAAATTTACTTCGCCTCGCGCTTTTGCATCTTCATCTGGTATATTTGTTTGTTTTTTTTTTCCTTCCCACTTGTTAATTTGTGCGTGTGCGCCAGTGGGGTTGAGAATTTTGTTTCCCTCTATCAGCATTTTTGAGATTTGATGGACTTTAAAAAATCAAGATTCAAACATGATTAAGGAAGCATGTCGTTAGTAGCTTATGCCTTATTGATATCACTTTGTTTATGGAATCAGCATTTGTTTCGAGCTATGTGTTGATGCTGCTGATCTTTATCTGTACTGGCTTTCTTACTTCGTTTTCTGTGGCATTTTGAAAAGAAAATGTCACTTTGTGTTATTGTGTTTGCGAAAATGTCACCCTTGTCTTTCATGACCGAAACAACGATCCTCAAACACTGATATTACAACTAAAGGTAGCATTGCCGCTTTTACAAGTGAAAATGCAAAGGTGGAATTTGTTTCACTAAAATTCCTTTCCTTTTCCGAAGCTTTAGCTTTGGGGCTCACATCTTACGGAAAGAATAATGTTGGAATACAGGAAATAATGGGTTTTCTTTGCTTTCATTATCAAGTCTGTGTTTTCTTTGATTTTCGGAAATTATAAAGTACCTTTTAATGAATTCCCCATAAATCAAACATGTTATGCCTGCCCTTATTCTGTACTAGTTCTGTTTCTTAGATGGTGTTCTGAATTTTCTGTAATCTGCATTATTCTTAATCGATCGAGTATCGAGTTAAGACAACGCTGGCTTCAGTATTATCTTGTTTCATTCATTTTCTCAAGTAGTCATGGTTATGACCTTTGATTTCCGATAATTCCAATCAGATCCTCTTCTGGTCAAAGCCGCAAGAGGGGAATCAGTTAACCGGCCTCCTGCATGGATGATGCGTCAGGCCGGAAGGTACATGGCAGTTTATAGAAAGCTTGCAGAGAAATACCCGTCCTTCAGGGAGAGGTCAGAAACGACTGATCTCATTGTGCAAATTTCATTGCAGCCTTGGGAAGCTTTTCGGCCGGATGGAGTTATTATTTTCTCAGACATACTTACTCCACTACCCGCATTCGGTGTTCCCTTTGACATAGAGGAGGTTCGAGGTCCCGTTATACAGTCCCCCATTTGTTCTGAGGAGGACCTGAAAATGTTGCACCCGATCGATTTGGATAAACTGCAGTTTGTTGGGGAGTCTCTTAGGATATTGCGAAAAGAGGTTAGTTTTAGTGTCCCACCATTTTCACGACTTGCAATGAAAGATATGGTCCTGCTGGAACAATTCTTTTTCAGTAAATGGTGATCTTACTTTTTGGAATGATTGTAAAATGGCCCTTGATTTTGGTGTATTTAGAAAACCATCCTTGAAGGTTTTTTATCCCTTTTATGTTTTTCCCAACTGTTACTTGGAATTCATTGAAGTCATGAAACATTTGAATTTGTCTCCTCAAGTTTTCAACATAATACGGATAGCCCAACTTTTCCTATTGGCTGTCTGTAATATTTCGAACAATTGAGATATGCAAAATGTGATATGTGAGAGAAAACGTTTAATTATTTCCTTTTATGTTTTTCCCAACTGTTACTTGGACTTCATTGAAGTCATGAAACATTTGAATTTGCCTCCACAAGTTTTTAACATAATACGGATAGCCCAACTTTTCCTATTGGCTGTCTGCAATATTTCGAACAATTGAGATATGCAAAATGTAATATGTAAGAGAAAACGTTGAATTATTTGTAACATTTTCAAAATTCGAGGAGTGTAATTTAAATATATTTGGCGACAGTTAGCCAGTTCCATTAGATCCTCCAGAGGCATTTACACAATGTAAGAAATGGTCGTAATCTCAAGGATGCTTTTTGTAAATTTCAAGTGTGTTTTAGTAACTTGCCCAAAACTCATTGGCGACTTCCGTATTTAACCCTTGCCTTTTCAATACTATCTATGAAAAATGGATTTTTAACCCATTTCCATTTACAGGTAGGAGAACAAGCTGCAGTTTTGGGTTTTGTTGGAGCTCCCTGGACAATTGCTACATATATAGTCGAAGGGGGTTCGACTCGAACATACACGACAATAAAGAGCATGTGTCATACGGCACCCGATTTGCTAAGGGTTCTTCTGTCTCATCTGACAAAGGCAATAGCTGAGTATGTCGTTTACCAAGTAGAGTCTGGGGCTCACTGCATACAGATATTCGATTCATGGGGGGGCCAATTGCCACCCGACATGTGGGACCAGTGGTCTAAGCCTTACATCAATGAGGTGAATTTTTTGCTCTGCTTGTCTAAATCATTTTTCGTTCTTTCGAGCAATTGGAGCCCACATGAAGCAATGACCCATTGTTTCTTTATGAACGAAGATCGTGAGAATAGTTAAGCAGAAATGCCCTCAAACACCACTTGTGCTATACATCAATGGAAATGGTGGGCTTCTTGAGCGGATGAAGGGAACGGGAGTTGATGTCATCGGGCTCGACTGGACAGTGGATATGGCTGATGGAAGGGCACGTCTTGGGAACGATATCAGCATACAAGGAAATGTGGATCCCGCCTATCTATTCTCTCCTCTTCCGGCCATAACAAATGAAATTAAAAGGTTTGTCACATAAACACTCATGACAATCGGAGTTCATCGTTTCAAACCAGTTGAATATAATTGGACATGTCTCATTTCATTGATTTGAGTTCTCTTATACCAAGAGAATGCTTGCAAAGACTTCTCTAATATTAAAAGAAATGATATATTGAAGCAGAAGCTACAAATCTATGCACACACACACACACACACACACACACACATATATATATATACATATATATTTTATGTATTATTTGGCCCTATTTTGTGAGATTAGTTTTTTCCCGCCTAAACTACAGTACCAAATTTAGCGTGTCCATTTAATTTCAATTTACTAAAACTTGTAATGGTGTATTTAAGCAAATTTTCTTTTTCACTCTTGGGTGCGCGCGCGAGTCTTAACAGAATAATAATTTACAAATTTTCCTTCCATTGAATTTTTTTGGGTTATTTTTTTTATATATATATTAAGTTTACATTTGATAATATTATTAAAATTGCAAGAGTATGTTATTTACAAAAATATTTTTCCATGATCTTTGATCCATTTTAATATACAATATATTGATTTATTTGTGTTTATATGATATTTAATACAATAATATTGATTTAATTGTGTTTATATGATATTTAATTTGATTTTCATACTCTACACACAAAATGTAAACTTATATGATCCGTATAAATTATGAAACAAATATCTCTAAAATGTGATTTATCCTAATTGTCCATATTGTGGATTTACATTGCACTTATGTTTGAAATAGCTATTAATTTATAGTAAATAATCTATACTTGTACTAAATATATTTTGATAATCAAATTTATATAATGTGATGTACACATTGTATAAACATAATTCTTTTTCTAAACTAGTATACATATACATCTTATATTATTTTCTATTTTTTCTATAGTTTCTGCATATGCACTCGGTGGATTACTAGTATTTCATAATCAAGAGTGTGTAGTTGATGCGAAGCTAAAAGTTTGAACTAGTTAAAAGGGAGTATATGGTGAATAAATTGTCAAATTTGTGTCTTGGCAAGTCCAGTCATACTAGAAATGAATCAGAAATCTAAAAAGACCTGCTTTTAGATTCTGATTGATGTGCCTAAATCAGCATTTGAAAGCACGAACCAAATCACAATTGATGAAAGCACGAACCATATCACGCTTGCGTGTGGTATTCTTTCCTTCTTTATTGGACATTTTCGACTTACCCAATTATTATTCCATTTAACCTTGAATGTACGATTTAGGTTTTAGGCCTTTGCAAGGTGGAGGTTTTTATTCGATAAGTTGCAAATTAAGCCGAAACAATATGTGTGGTTTGTCAGGGTTGTAAATTGTGCGGGAACAAAGGGCCATATCTTAAACTTGGGCCATGGTGTCCTTGTGGGTACTCCTGAAGAATCTGTGGCCCATTTCTTTGATGTCGCCAAAAGCTTCAACTTTGATGCTCAAACCGACAGTTATGCAGTCGGGACACCCAATTTAGTTGCTTGATGGTGAAGTTGTTTCGTGCCCGAAGATGGAAACTTTTGTTGTACAAAATTCGCTGGTTGTTGCAAGTAATGAGGTAACTTAATTATCTGATTCTTTTTGCAGCTTAGTGGTTGACTGATCTTTGTCGATGTATCAAGAATGCACGGTCGTTTGCGTATTCAATTGTTGTATAAAAATCGCTGTTTTTTTTTTTAGCGTGAGCCATGCATTTTGAAGGATATTTTGATTGATGCGCTCATTTAGGACTTGATTGTTTATGAAATAACTTGTTCAAAATGAGTTATTTTGGTTAACCATAGTTAATTTTAAAAAGGTAGTATGGTTAGTTGTTAGTAAAATTTTAAGAATGTATTAAAATAATATGCAAAATAAAATGATTAAAATTGATTTGATTTAAAAGTAAAATATAAATGATTGAAAATGATAGGTAGTTAAATTATGTGAGTGGATGAATATTGAATTAAAGTTGATGTGATGTGTAAGAATGATTGGTTTGTATTATTTAATTATATGAATAATATTAAAGATTGTGGGGTTGAATTAAAGTTGAGTTAAATTTTGAGTTGAAATAAAAATGAGTAAATTAACTTGTAAACAATCAAGCCCTTAAATTTCGGTTCTTGTTTTGTGCCTTGTGTGATGTTTGTTGTCTGTTTTGTGAAATAATGCATGCCTGGATCAATGTGGAAAAACAGATTAATTTATGCAGAAGATTTTAAAATTATGAAAATTATAAATGTACTATAATTAACTTTTGTAGCCCAAAATAAGGTGAAAATAGTACAAACAACAATTAGAATATCAAGTAAATGACCTGAGACGTTATTTGCCGAATAATTATTTTATTTATCTCACTGTAGTTAAATATATTGTGTCAAAAAAAAAAAAAAATATTGTGTCAAAATAAATATATAAATATTAAATAATATTGTATTTTATTTATTTAGGGGCATTTCACATTCGTTGTTGCCAATAAATAAGTCAATTAACAAGCAAAGTTGCGAGAGGATGACTTGATAAACCATGCGTGCAATAATACTACTACGTTAATTAACTTATGTGCAATAATTAATAACTTATCAATAAAACAGGAAATTATTAACATTAAATAATAAACTTTTCAATAGATATTTTATTTATTTATTTAAAACTTAAATAAAATTCTCATTAAGTCAATGTTCGTAACTTTGGAAAGATAATTAAAAAAAACATTCGCGTGCAATAATTGCTACTATAACTTATCAATATTTTCGGTCCATTATTTAACAACTGGATTTTAGAAAATCTGGACCAACTATAACTGTATAATAAGTCAATCATTCTTAATACTCCCTCTTATTCATTATAAATGTCGTTTTGACTTTTTTGATTCATCCATTTTATTATGTATCTAGACATTAATATGTCATAGATACATAACAAAATGGATGAATCAAAAAAGTCAAAATGACATTTATAATGAACAGGAGGTAGTATTAATTAGTCAAAATAAGTTAATCGATCCTTTTACATTAATTTTCTTTCCAAAGGGGATTCATTACTCTTTAGACCTAATGAAAGACCGTATTCTTAGCGTGACACGTACCTCCACGAGTTAGGGTAATGAATCCTCTTTCCGCAGTCTAATGAAAGGTGTGTACACATGAGTAGTATGTTATGTTTTATTGTGATATGGAGATATGACAGAATAATTGATTTGTATTCATACTGCGACCATACTGTCTTGACATTATTATTATTGTGGTATACGTGCATATTGGTGAGCACTACATTTTCATTTGTGTTTATCTCCACATGCTCTTCATGGATGCATGTTAAGGCATGATGGTGTGCATGACGATCGAGGGGCGAGTGGGTCGGTCATGTGTTACTTTATTTGTGCTTTTGTTTAATAACTGTGGTCTTTCGAACCTCTTTATGTTTAGATATGTGAAAAATCGTTTTCAAAACCTATGTTTTGTTTTGATGGTTGGGAATACTTTGATGAACCCTATATGTTGGTTATGAATATTCATGATTTTGGTTTTATGTGGTTTCGAGTATTCATGCTGGGAATATTGTTATGTGATGTGAATTGGGTTAATGAAAACCTTGCAAATACTGGATAATGAATCCCCGAGGGTCCAGATAAGACTTGGACTGAGTAAAATATTATTTAATAACACCCATGTATTTCGAAAATGATTTCAAAATTTATCTGATTTTTGGAAAGCCCAAAATTTCTTTAAAATCAAAGTGGGGTGTTACAGTCACGTTAGACTAATTAAGGAGAAGATCCCCAAATATATAGGACTAGTTAGCTGAAGTAATTGTTTTATTCCAAAACCAAAAATAAAATTAGACATGTGATCATGGATAGATTTCACCTTAGGTTATGTTTGGTAAAACTAGTTGATAAGCTAACTTATAGCTTATCAGTAATTTTCGAACATATAGTTTATAGCTTATGACTTAAAGCTGAAAAACTAGCTTATATGATAAAAGTATTTGGTAAAATTAGCTGATAAACTAGCTGAAATAAAAATTTCAACGAGCTTATTTAAAAAGCTATTCAAATAAGCTTAACAAATAAGCTCGAGCTTTTTAAATAAACTCGTCCTACCAAACGGAACTTATTTGAATACAGAGAGGTTATAAGCTAAACAAATAAGCTATAAACTAGTTTATTTGTCTACCAAACATAGCCTTAATGTATAAGAGTGCAATGAAAAGAATAGAGATATAAAATTAGTCGATAGAGCTCGAGCTCTTGATACTTGAATTCGAGTTCGTCAATAAAAACGAGTCGATAAATGAACTCTGAATTCAATTTCTATTATCAATATTAATGAGTCGAACTATAGAAAATTACATAAAATTCATGTTTTCGAATCTTAACGAACTGAGTTCCTGAGTCATTTTTTTGTTTTTATTTTTTCGTTTAACAGTTTTAGACCAGTACTCACATCGAAATTTTAACCATCTGCACATCTATAAAATTGAATCTACTATATGGCTACTAATTCTACTATTGCAAATTCTAGATAACTTGTTTTTCAAAATTAGTTAAATACAAAATAAACATTTGAAAAAGGTCTAAAGTATGAGTTGTGAGAGTGTAAACTGTTGACTTATGTGATAATAATGTTTTTATCATCCCTGCTATTTTTTTTTTTTTTTAAAAGACTATAGCTAATTGTAAGAAAAAAGCAGAAAAACAAACCACTTCAACATTTTCAACCTCTTGTTTATTGTGGCAGCTAGGAGAGATATTCAAATAATGTAATTAAATTATGTATTATTTGATTTTACATGTTGTAGACCTGGACAGATGTGAAAGTTGAATACACACTACAAAAAAAACACTACAATTCCAACGAAAAATTCTAACGGCAAAAATTTCGTTGGAAATTCCAATGAATATTCCAACAAACTTAATTTTATGTTGGAATAAGAGTTGGATAGTTGAAGAATTCCAACGGATTTTTTCTGTTGGAATAGCTGTAGGAATTTATTTCCATAGGATTTTCTGTTGGATATTTGCTATTCCAACGACCGTTTTTCCAACGGATTTTTATACGTAGGAATATCCGTTGGAATAGCTATTCCAACGGAAATATAAAAAATTCCAACTGAAAATTTTTGTTGGAATGTAAGAGTTTTTTTTGTAGTGACAATATACTGTTATATTCCTCCTTTTAATGTTGTTATTGTTGTTGTTATTATTATTATTATTATTATTATTATTATTATTATTATTATTATTATTATTATTATTATTATTATTATTATTATTATTATTATTATTATTATTATTATTGTGTGTACTTTATATTTTATCATTTTATTTTCTAACAGCCTAGTCTTGTTGTCCGTTCAAAGATGTCCGTATTATTGTTATTTTTACTTGGCATGATATGTACCAATTCAAAGATGTCCGTATTCATTGGAATTTTAGATGAAATTTGATTATTTCAACGGCTATATTTCCAACAGCTTTTACAGTAGAAATTTCCATTGTAATATGCAATTTCAGTTAGAATTTCATCATTTTCATGTAGTGTATCATGTTTTATTAAGTTGAAATTTAGGTAATAAAGTGAAAAATAAATAAATTTGAGTTACTAAAATTGATTTTTTTGTTATTTAATAAATAAAATATATGAATTGACAAATCTATTGCTATAAGCCTATAAATAGCAATAAAAAAAATACTTTAAGTAGAAAATAAAATCCCGCCTAAAACTTTAGATTTTACTACAGTTAGTAACTTTTTTTGAAATACTATAAAATACTAGCGGTTAGATTTGTAATTTTCATTTCAGATTCATTCAAACATTTAAAGAAAAATATCATAAGCAGATTTTTTTATACATTATATTTTATCTTAACTTACATATAATCACATTTTTAACAAACTTTATTTTTTTATATATTTTTAAATTAATTATATCAATAAATAATATTAATATACATTAACTATTTATCATGATATAAAAAAGAATATTATTTCTAGAAGTGTTATAAACAATAATGACATTATACGACAATAAATTTTTGTGTAAAATAATATGTGAGTATTATGATGAACCAAAAAATATGTAAAATAGTATTTTTTGTATTAACAAATAAATATATATGCTAAAATTTTATTTATATCACTAGAAGCAGATCAACGAGCTAATATATTATAAAAATAAAATTTTAAAAAACTGTTCTAAATTACAAAACACACTACCTAGCCAGTAGTTCTAAAAATGTTAATTCTCACTATTTATTTAGCGGCCATCGTGAAAATCAGTGACTCAAATAAAGTGATAATAATTAAAATATCGTGATATTTTTAGTTAATTGTTGAATGACAAAGTTCAAATATTTTAAGTCTTAATAATTAAAATATTACTCACAGCTTGATCATGTTAAGAAACATATTCATCTTGTACAAAATCAACATATTCAGTGTTAATAAACATGTGCATCTGAGAATGAAACATGTTCATATTATAATTTAACATTTTATA